TATATACTTGTTTTGCCAGATGGGTTTTTGCCAGGAGGGGTTTTGTTTTGTTGTTTTTTGAGACAAAGTCTTGCTGCATAGCTCAGGCTGGACTTGGACTCTGATCCTTTTGCCTCTGCTTCCAAAGTGGTGGGATTATAGGTGCACATCACAGTGTCTAGCACTAAGAGGCTTTTTGTTTTTATTTACGTTGCTCTTATAAGAGAAACTATACAGCTCATCTTTCCAAGAATCTGGCTTATTTTTGTTTCACATGATGGTTTCCAGTTCTGTCCATTTTTCTGCAAATGATATTTTATTCTTTTTTTAAAAAAATGTATTTGGTACAGGGTCTCACTACATACATCAGACTCGTAGTGATTCTCCTGTTTACAGCCTCCCAAGAGCTGGAATTACAGGTGCACGCCACCACGCCCAGTCTCAATCGCCATCTCAGCATGCCCAGGCGAGGGGCCGGCACAGCACATGGGGGATCGAACCCCGGCCGCTGTGCTCTGCATAAGCAGGTGCATTAATCCACTGAGCTATCTGGCCAGCCCCGACTTTATTCTTTTTTGTGTTGATGATATTCTGCTATAATTCCTGGTACCAAAAACAACAAAAGAACTATAGAATACGCTACTGCATTTGTATACCACATTTTCTGCATCCATGCATCTATTGATGGGGTCCAAGGTATTTCTACAGCCTGGCTAGTGTGAATTTTACTGCAGTAAATATAGACCTGCCAGTATAGCTGTAGCTTGCTGTCCCTCATTCTTTCATGACTACATCAAATGGAATCTCAGTTTTTGGACCGTTGAGGACTCTCCCCACTGACATCTGTAACACTGTGTCAGCTTCCTTTCCTACGAGCAGTGTGGAAGTGTTTCTTTTGCCCTGCATCCTGATCAGTTTTTCCTGATGAATACAAAATTCTGTTCTGATTGGGGCGGTAACGACAGGCCGCAGTAGTTTAGATTTGCACTGCCGTGATGGCTACACACCAAATGCTTTTTCTTTGGAGAAGTGTCTATTTTTGTTTGACCATTTATTGATGAGGAAGTTGGTTATATACGAGTTCCTTATATATCCTAGATGGTGACCCACTGAGGCTTTTTAAAAAATAAGAGTGCAAGATTATGTATAGCTCCTGTGGATATTGAGATTATTGAATGTGTGCTTCAAAAAATTGATAGTACCCTGAACTAGAAAAATCAAGCTTTTAAAACATGAAACTAATAAGCACTTCCCTGGCAAGTGCAAGGGCCTGAGTTCAATCCCCGGTTCCGCCCAAAAGAAAAACAAAACAAAACAAAAAAACCCAACTAAGTTTATATTCCTGGAATAACTTGATATGCCGTCTGTCTTAGCCTACAGCATCGTGTTCCGCAAATCCTGAGCCACCTGTGCTGTCAGCGTCGGCCCATCTGATTTATGTGTATCACCCCCAGTCGCCTTCAAGCGTTGCCCTCTTCGAAGTAGCTTAGTCTCCTGGCGCCACCTGGTGGCAAGTTTGGGAAATTTCTGACTCAGCTTTTCACCTCTTAGGGAAAAGCATGATGGTTCTCTGTAATAAATACTAATTCCTTTCATCCTATTTTCTTTCTTGTGCTTTACATTTATCCACTTACCCCATCCTCCTTTCTATTGATAATTACATTTTATCAATAGTATATTCAAGAAAATCTTTTTAAAAAAGTCTTTCATTTATTCATTTGGTATAGGGTCTCTCTACTCAGCTCAGACTCGTGATACTGATCCTTCTGTCTCAGCCTCCCCAGCACCAGGATTACACGGGATTACAGGCGTGCACCACCATGCCAGGTTCTGGGGCCAGCATAGCATGTGGGGATTAAACCCGGGTCCTTGTGCTTGCCAGGCAGGCACTTAGACTGCCAAGTTATCTCCCCAGCCCAAGAAAATCATTCTTTTTCCTCTTTTTTGCTCTCTCTCTCTCTCTCTCTCTCTCTCTCTCTCTCTCTCCTTCCCTCCCTCTCTCTCCTTCCCTCCCTCTCTCCCTCTTCCTCTCTCCCTCTCTTTACCAGTATAAATCTACCTCAATCATTATGAGTGCAGAAGTGGTGACTACAGAAAAGTAAAACTATACATTTAAAAATGATTTTGATATAATAAAGTGCCAGCTCTGCTAGCCTTTGAAATCTTTGAAGATATTAAAAATTCCCTTCAAAAAAATTCTTAAACTTCAAGAACTATTTAATCATCTTCAAATTATTGTGTTCAGCTTAACATCAAACCCAAGTATTAATGAGTATAAGATTGTTGATAAATATTATTTCTGCGTTCCTCTGACAAATCTGGAAGTTTCTACTGTATCTTCCTGGGAAGACTCAGGTTTTCACTATGGGTTAAAAACTGCCTGCAAACAGAGCCGTCGTCCATAAGAGTTTGTAGGGGACCCGGCGGCCACAGGTGTGGGCTAAGCAATAACCCAGCCAGAGGACGGAGGTGCCAGCAGGCCCTTCCAACTGCTTAGCTCACTCCAGGGGGAACGCGGGAAGGGTGAGCCTTCCTAGGCCAGGAGACGACATGTGGAGCAGAGCCAGCTGGGCAGTGGCTTTGTGGAGTTAATTGGGACTACTTCTGGCAAGAGGTATTACGGAATGGTAGGTGGGTCAGACAGAGAAGGAAGGGCTGCAATTGAGCTCCAGCCACCACAAGGGCCGGGTGGCTGGCGGGAGAGGTCGTTTTCACTGTGTCTGTCTTAGCCCATCCCTACCTGGTCATCAGCAGGTAGCACATATGGAGAATTTGCTTATTCAAAGCTAGCAGCTACTGGATCAGAGCAGGCGCCACCAAGTAATTAGCGTCCACTAGGCTGGCTGTTATCCGAAGTGCCAAGATTAAGAGAGGAGGTGAAAAATATATAATATCTATAAGACCACGTACTTTGACACTAATGAAGTTCTGATGTTGATGGCTTGAGCCTCATTATTTTTGTGAAATTGATGTTTGTGCGGAGCTCTTGTAATTCTTAAGAGAAGAAGCTGCTATTTCAAAGAGAGATTTAGTTACTCTTATTTTCATCCTCCAATGGTGGAGCTACAAAGAGGAATTTAAAATTTTAGAAAACATTTAAAGATCAGGAAGATTAATTTGGCAATTCAGTTCTTCAGTTAGTCCTATGGTAATCCAGAACAACAAAGATGTCCTGGCATTGAACACTGCTGAGAGACGCGGTGCACCCTCCCTGTTCAGCCTCCTCCTCTGTTCTTTTGCTAAATGCCGTTTAATATCTTAATGTCTCTTTTGAAAGGTGGGGACCCAAACTGTATGCGTTATTCCAGATGCGCTCCTGCCAAAGCAGCATCAAGCAAATGTAACAGGACAAAGGCTCCCTCTCTCTCGGTAAGTAAGTCCGGCAGCTGGGTGTGCTTTGGCCCACGCGCTTGTAGCCCTGCCAGGCTGTGCCAAGGCTTCCTTATACAGGCACCTGCTCGTCCGCAGCCCAGGGCCATGAGTGCTGCCCCACCAGGGGGCTGCCCCGAGCGCCCACCCCACTAGGGCCCCATTCCACCTTCCACAGCTCTCTTTCAGCAGTTTGAATCTCTCAGGCTCTTTACCAATCAAGAACATCTTACCGCGATTTAGTCATTATAAGGTCGGCTGGCATTTATTAGAAGGAAGCTCAATGTGTCATCTTGGTGACCCAGTTGGACTTGGTATTACTGTAGGACGCTGTCCTATACCAGACCCTCTCAGTCAGGAACAAGAGTAGTTAATTCAGTGCAGGCTCACACAGGACAGGAATGCTGTCGGGACGTTTTCCTTGAGCAAACAGTTTCAGCGGAGCCCAACAGTGAGCGCTGGGGATCCAGACCCAGGAGAAGAATTAAGGAACTCTGCATCAATCAGGTGAATAAAAATACGATGCATTCATCAAGATCTAGCAAAATTTTGAAGTCATTTCTCAATATGATTCACTGGGTAGCTTGTTTTAAAATTATTTTATTTCTCTGGCAGAGACTACTTTCATCTCAGTTCTAAATAAAACAGGAGCAATTTATTTTGCAGATTATACGTGCTGTGTTTGATTCACTGATTAAGCCTACCAAAGTTCTCTAAACCTAATTCGAGCCAAATGTGGATATATTTGAGATAATTCTTTAAGATGTGGAATAAATATCCATTGCAGCAAGAGGTTTTTGGATTTTTTCATGTGACAGGAAAAAAAAATGGTGCTGTGTGCTCCCAGTTAGACTGTGAAGGTTTATAAGTGACTTGCTTCTTCGGGCTTGAAGTTTGGGTTGCTCTAAGATGAAGGGAAGGTTGTGCTAGAATCTTCATCATCCCTTCACATGACCAAAACACTTTCTATACCTCAAAGCCCACTTGAAGAGCTGCGACACATCTATCATCACGTGTGCTCCTGTGGAAAGCCATGTAGCTGGTTGTAAAGTCATAAAATTCAGCTGGTCTTATTGTGGGTATTTAACTAAAACCCTTTGTGAAAATATAACTTAAATTTCCACAGATTGGCTCAAGCAATATTCAAAGCTATTCATCTCTAAACAATTTCTTCCAATGCAAGCATTCCTTTTTTTACATAGCACTATTTTGTTCGCTGATTAGTAAGATTTCCTAAATTAAAATTTGCCCAATGACTTACAATATTTTTTCATATCGATCTTCTCCTATTAGTGCTCTTGCTTTTTGGAGCAAGTCCTTTCAGGGAGTCAGACCCAGGTTTTGTCATCAAGAGTAGGAGGAAAGATTTTTGTATGACTCACCAGATGGTCAGCTCAAATGACTAAGAATTTGAGTTCCCTGGAACAGACCTTAGGGGGAGACAAGGGGGCTGGGGACTGCTGCACCCTCATCCAGAAGTGGCGTCCGGCTCTGAACCTTGGAAGAACCACGGACTCCTCTTTAGTTGATCTGAATGTTATTGGTCCGAGAACAGAGGACCAAGACTCTGAGTTGGCTTGTAGGCCTTCTCCTGCCACCCCCAGCATTCCTCTCACGGCACTGTTAGCCTCATGATGCGGGGCACATGCGTTACGGTGATGAGAACTTAGCGGTGACATCACAGGTGGGCTGCACCTGACTGGTTTCTTCAGGGGTAGACTCCTCTAGTCTTGGACCAGATGGTATTCAAATTGGTCATCAGCCCTAAGGCTAGTAACATCTCTGGGCTTCTTGCTTTCAATGTTCAGGCTTTTTGCTGGGCTTTTTTGTTGTTGTTGTTTCATTTTGTTTTGGTTTTTTTTCTGAGGTTTTGGCTTTATCTACCAGACCCAGTTAGACTTGACCTCAGGGTCCATGGCCTGGACCTTTGAAACCAGAAGTAGTCTGAGGCAGGTCAGGTGGAACTGCTGTGAATAAGGTAGACAGCACACAGGCTGCTGCTTCCGCGCTTCTTGCGACGTTCACATCCTAAAGGTTTGTGGCTGCTACCTGACAGGATGATGTCTGCGCCATAACCTTACATCATAATTCTGGAACGAAGGTCTGTGGAATTTATTGTCTACATGAGATTTAGTTTGCACAAAACAATTTGTTTTGTTTTGTTTTTGAGACAGCGTCTTGCTTAGGTAGACTGAGTTGGCCCTGAACTCATGGCAGTCCTCCTGTGTCATCCTCCCAAGTGCTGGAGTTCCAGGCATACACCACCACGACCAGCCAGCCAGCCATAATTCTGCGCAGGCTGAAGTCAGAAGGGAGAATTTGTGGAACTGCCTCTCTTTTGACACTGTCTTTGCTTCACTGTGTTTCCTCAGCACCCTTCTAGTCACCTTCATCCTTGGCAAACTCGGCAGGTTTTAAAAGCTAATCTACAGAATGTGTGAAAGGTGTCTAGAATCGTGCCCTTTGCAGCCCCACTCTGGTAATATTTCTTTCTGGCTTGACTCTCCTGATGATTTTCGGTGTCCTTACACAGGTCCCTGGCGATGGACACACGGCGAACTTTAGGATAAGGATATACGGAGATGGTCCTGTGTTTTGAATGTGCGCGCCCCAAAGTCTGGAATCACCGCGGGAGCCTGAAGGGCGATTCTTCCCGCTCTGTGGCTCCTGCTGACGGCCCCTCCTCATCTCCTGGCTGTTGGGTGTCCCTTTCTTGCTAGTTTCTCTTTCTGAACCCCTCCTGATTGCCTCTCCTGGGGACAGACTTTAGGAAGATGACCCAGGACTTGGGACTTCTGCACGGCTCCCTGCGGTCCCAAGGCATCGTCCCCAACACACGCCTGAAGGCATCAGCTTCCAAGAGCCCACTTTCTTCTGCATGACCGGATTGTAAGGAGGAATCTAAGGAGAGAAGTCTCTCGAGTTTTTCATTTGAACAAAGTGGCTGCGACTGATGCTTAGCTTTGACCTGAGAGCGGGACCGGTGGTGTCTAGCCGTTCCCATGTGCTCTTCTGTGGCATTTGCAGAAATAAATGCAACATAACCTCTCTTGTCTGGGCTGTTTGTATAATTGTATATAAATGTAGCAATAAATATATTCTGACATCAGCTTCGGCCTCATTTTTCCACTGGATTCTACACCCGGGGCAGATGGCGTCAATGACCTTCCTAAGGAGCGGCTGCCTTACCAGTGGGGCCGGCTTGCCACATCTCAGATCCTAATCTTCTCTAATTTCAGGGTGTTAGTTTGGCCAGTGTTGGAGAAGAGGTTAAGGAGGGTAGGGTGGCAGAGCAGGGACACGAGACGGCATTATTAATTCAGGAGTTGGCACTGGTCCTGGCACTCCAGGAAGGTTCGAATATCCAAGAACTGAAGCTCAGCGGATTGGCTGGTGGTGTGCGACGGGAGTCAGCTATCTTAACAGTCACTCTGACCTCCTCCGAGAACGCACTGTGCTGCAGTGAAGTGACAGGTACTGACAGGCACAAAGGCGCTTTGAAGAGTTCCAGAAAAAACACAAAATACACTAATATGACACAGAACATTCAGTCTGTCATTGATGGCTTTTAGGGGTATTAAGTAGGGACAGCTGCTCCAAAGACAGTCTCCTGCTATGGGGAGGGGCAGCGAGGTAGAGAACCCTTTGACAGACACTTTCTCTTATCAGGGAATATTTTATTCAAACTGGCTTGTCTCCATTAGTTTGAAATTGTTTTTATAAGGTAAAAAAAGAACCAAATACTTTGTATGTGTGGTTTTATTTTTTAAAATCATTAATGAATTAACTTGGTACAGGGTCTTGCTATACAGTTCAGACTCATAGTGATTCTCCTGTCTCAGCCTCCTCAGTGCTGGGATTACTGGTGTACGTCACTATACCCAGTTTTGGTCGACGACACTGCATGTGGTACCAGGTATCAAACCCAGGTCCTTGCACTTGCCAGGCAGGCACTTAGACCACCGAGCGATCCCCTCAGCTCCTGGGTGGGCTTTTTAAATTAATTAGTTTCATTGTGGTTTCTTATTAGGCCTTTCATTAGCCATAAAGTCAGTCATAAAATATGGGAGTGCACGCTAGGCAGAGTGATGCTCACTTGTAGTCCCAGCAGATGGGAGTTTAGAGAGGAGGATCACCGCAAGTTCGAGGCCAGCCTGGACCACACAGTGAGATCCTATCTCAAGAAACAAAAAACAAATAAAAAGATAGGGGAATGCCAGGATTTCTGTTGGTTCTCGATTTCAGAGGCTTCGGGGCACTGTCTGCCGGCCCTACTGCTTTAGGCCTCTAGTGTGGCAAAGCCTTGGAGCAGGGTGTTTGTGGAAGGAAAACTCTTTGCCTTATGGCAGCCAGAGCAGAGAGGCAGAGCCTGGGAGGAAGGGACCAAATGGAGTCCCCAGCGTCGCACCCGTAATCCACGCCCACGAGGCAGCGTCTGTCTTTCGTTTCTGTCCTTTTCCAGTGAACTCATCCAGTGCGGCTCTCCTCAATGCCCCGATCTGCTTCGCGAGGCCAGGGCTCTCAGGAGCCCATCACTGCCCAAGAGCCCAGCAGCGAGTACCCCAGACGAGACGCCAGCACAGGAGCGTAGCGCGAGCATTTGGAGCGACACGCCCAACCACAACACGGCAATAAGGGAGAACCCCAGTTAGAGCCAACACTGCAAAATCAAAAGCCTTAGAGAACTGCGGGTGCTCAGCTTGTGGGCTTTAAATGTGGCCAAGGGGGCTGCGTCCTGCCACTGACTGATGGGCTGGCTTTGGTCACACTGATGCTGTGACTGCTCTGCTGCTACGTGAGGTTTTGGGACAGAATGATTATTAAATCCAAATTTTCAAATTACTTTTGGTCCATACAATTTCTCCTCCTCCAGAAAGGGGAAAACTGTAGGCCAGTTTTTTATTTGTTTGCTTTGTTTTTTGCGGAACTAGGGATTGAACTCAGGCCCTTATGCTTGCCAGGGAAGCGCTTATTCCACTGAGCCATCTCCCCGGCCCCGGCCAGTATTGATATTAAAGAGAAACTCATGACAAAAACGAGCAGAAGGGAATACGCAGAGGGTTTATGATTAGACTCTAAGAAATGCACTGTTGAAATAATGACAAGTTAAAATCACCTAGGCATGGGCCGGTGGTATAGCTCAGCAGACAAAGTGCTTACTTAGGCACGGTCCAGGGCTCAATCCCTGGCACCACATGCTGTGCCAGCCCTGTCCCTGGGGGCCCTGAGCCGGCGATGGAGTCTGGGTGTAGTGGCGCACGTCTGTAATCCCAGCACTAGGGAGGCAAAAATCAGGAGGATCACTATGAGTCCAAGCTGCATAGTGAGCCCCTGCACACACATGCGCGCGCGCACACACACACACACACACATCACCTAGGCAAACCCCTTTTGAGGAAAAAGAACTTAGCTCTCCCTTTTCATGGCTCATTAGCCAGGTTTTCCTTGCCCTTCCTCTGCACAGGGCAGAAAGACTCAAGTCTATGCTTATCATTGATCAGGCTGATGGGACACAGAAGCCTCAGGAGCCGGCTTCCTTCCTCTACAATCTGCCCACATCCAATCAGGTGGTGGAACTCCAGCAGCCCTTCACCCTGGTGACTGCTGGGCCTTAGTCTCAGTGAAGCTTTAATCTTCTAACTGGGTGAGAGCAAAGGTAATGCACTGCAACCACAGGGGAGAAGCGCTGTCACTTCTAGATGCTAAAAAACCCTTATGTCCCCTTCAACATGTCAGCGGAGAGTTCCCTTCTCATAGACATGATGCTCAGCTGCCCAGTTCCGCTGCCCTGGTGGCCCACTCCTAATTTCTTCCTGGCAAGAGGAGAGCCGTTTGCAAGATGCCTGTGCAGCCCAATCCTGGTTTTGGGTTTTCCTTTTGGGCCTTGGCTGTCTACAGGAAGTTCACAGATCCTGCATGACACTGTCATACGGAGGCAAGCCCAGGCTTCTGCAGGGGAGGGTGTGTCCGTCTCCCCTCGGTTCATTACAAGGAGGCCCAATTATCACCCACTGAAGCCCGTGTGCTTCAGCAAGAGCTTGGCAATCTTCAAGTCTTTGCCTGCTTATTGTTGTTGCTGCACTAGGGTTTGAACCCAGGAACTTAGGCTTGCCAAGTAGGCACTTACACTGCTGAGCTATATCTCCAGCTTTCACCTACTTTTGAAAAAAATTTTTTTTTTCCAACCCCATTAGCACTGTGGTTCTCCTTTTACCATACATCAGAACTGTCTGGAAGATTTTCTAAAAACAACAACAAATCTGATGCTGGGTTCTGCTCTAGAATTTCTGATTGATCCAGTCAGGGATGGAACTCAGGAGCCGGCACCAGTAGCAAATTCTGAGGTGAGATTGAGCCTGTCGGATGGGGACTTCCCTTAAGACCCAGAAGCACTAGGCTGAGAATAATTCTATTTATTGTTTCCCTCAAGCTCCCAAAGAACCAAATGTTCTCCAGGCTTCTGAGTCAGCCAAGCAGCCTTTGCTGAGCCGGGGTGAGCAAAACATCCCTGGGCCAGTCTGAGTAAGTCTGACAAATCAATATCCCCTTCTAGCCCACAGCCTGGGGGAGACTTAAATGGCAAGGATAGCATTCATCTTGGTTCTAAGTAGAACACGAGATAAATCAATGCCAGCTGTACGTCAGTTCCGAAAGCGTGATTTTAACACAATCTAATAGATGCATGCAGCTATCCTGTGATAAAACCTTACAGAGCACGGTGCACGAATACGCATTTAGCTGAGGATTTTTAATGTTGATGGCGATAGTAGGTTTTGTCAGATTTTCATTAAAATATAAAATAAACATTTGTAGATCTGGTAACCATGAGACAAATCTTTACAGACTGAATGCACTTGTAGAATCGGCACAAGACCAAAAACAGAACCACCAGCCCCGCAGAGGTCACAGCCGTCCCCGCAGAGGTCCCCAGGTGCATTTCCTAGGTCCTGGGCCTTTTTGCCAAGAATCCCTACTAACTCCTACTATAAGAGGGTAGATACATTTCACCTGGCTGGTACTTTACACAAATGACGTCATTCCGCACGCACCAGTTGCTTTTGAGTTCTCTTAAATTGCTTTTGCCTGGCTGCATAGCTTCCAGCGCATCTCACCTTTTCCTGCCCTTCCTCATCAGGCCGGTCCAGGCCCACTCTGGAAGCACTTCCCCCTCCTCCACGTGTCTCCCGCCCCGGGGCTTCCTGCGAGCTGCCCTTACCTCAGCCCCACTTCTGTCCCTCGGAACAGGGGCAGCTCCTCCAAGGTTGCACGCAACACCCTTTCTTCAGAGGCCCTTTTCTTTTCGGTGTGCATTTGGCAGGTCACTTGCCCCTCCGTTCCACTTGCCGCCTGCCCAGGGACACTCACCTCTTCCGCTCCTACTTCACACCAAAACCACGCACACACAACCCTCTCGGCTGCAAGGCCATCAGCAAGCAGGGGAGAGGAAGGGACAATTGGTGCCTGATTCTCATGGCCATAACAGACTGACACAGGTCCTTCACAGAAGCAAAGAGGTCTACTTGACTTACAGTCTGGGTCTGAAGAGTCCAAACAACATGGTGCCAGCTGCAGGGGAGGCTCCTGGCTATGTGCGCCCCAGTGGAACCTGCAGGCAAAGAGCTCAAGGGCACAGGTGGTGGTCACTTAACAATCACCCGCGTGTTTCCCACCCCCTGCGAGGGTGGTGCCCACCTCTTAAAGTCAGCCTGCCTCTACACTGGGGATCGTGCTTCTAGCCCAAGAAAGGAGGCGAGATCTCTACCCATAACCACACCACAGCACCAAGCCCCAGGCTGTGGCCCAGTATAATCGAACTGACTTGTTCCAGGGCCAGGTCCTGCCTCTACCCTTGCCGCTGGCCACCCGTGTGCTCTCTCCCCTCTCCATGTTCTATAGAGTGCATTCTCCACATTGTGGCCCCCAGGGATATATGTGGAGACCATCCCAATTGTTAGGGTTGTGTGGCACCAGCATCTAGCGGGCAGAGGCCAGACATGCTGGAAAACCCCCTAGAATGCGTGAAAGAGTCCTCCTACC